TTCTATAAAATTATTGAAATTGGTTGTTTATGATTTTTTTATTTCTTTTTTATTTTCTGATGTAATATTTTTCTATCATTTCTTCTTTTTATTTATTTTATTTGTTTATCATCTTTTTCTATTTCACAAGTAGTAAAGATACAAGAAGGAGTAACTATGACAGGAAATATTAATTCTAAAATACTCAATTGTGATGCTTTAAAATATTGTAAACATTGTCCTATCACAATTCCATCTATTAGCCACATTTTGTTATGATGTCCTGTAATGAAGAAGAATCAAATATCAAAACACGATTATGTATGTAATCAAATATATAAACATATATTAATTACATATTTTAATGAATTTGATGAAATAGATTTTAATATATCATAAATGTATTAATAATGATGAAATGATTATAAATTACAATAAAGATTTATTGATTAGTGACCATTAGTTTAATGAAGAAGACCAGATATATATTATCAAATCATCAAAGATAAAAATGATATATTAATGATATTGATATATGTCAAGATAGAAATATAGAATTAAATTATATTTACAAAATAAATAAATACAAAGAACTACAAGAGAAGTTAATACAAAGTAGAGAATTAATTCATGTAGAAATAATACCTGTAATATTAACAATAAATTAATACATAATGAATCAGTAAGAAGATTAAAGACACTAAAATTACAAATCAGCTTCCCCAAAATACTACGAATAATCATTATTAAAAACATTAAATACTTAATGTTCTACATATTTAACACTGGCAACACATAGAAGAAGAACCTTCTAATTCTCATATGGTTGAAATGACCTCTAATGTAGAAATAGAACATATTGAAATCACTGAAATAATCACTTCTTAATAACCATAAAACCAAATTGTAGATATGTCTATTATTTGATATTTTTTATATGAGAATATTGATATAATATTTTCAATTTTTAATTCATTTTTATTCAAATTTATAATAATCAAATTATAATATTAATACAAAATAATAAACAATAAATTAATTACACAAACAATATTTAATTAATTAACAAATACATACAAATATAATATTTAATCAAATCTCATTGCATAATTCACATTCCATCTTCTTTATATTTAATTTCATAATAAATTCAAAATAATTTTCAAATAACAAAATATAAATAATAAAAATAATAATAAAATATTCTATTAACTTTATTTGATTTCTTCTTTTATTTAAAATAAGTGTTATCGGATATAATAAAGAAACAATCAATATTATTTAATTGAGTTCTTAAAAATAATAAAGAATAGTTAATAGTTTATGAATGATATAATAAAAATAAAATTAATAATTTTAATTTAAATACCATAACTTATAACCAACACAATGGAAAACCAAGAAAAGAGTAAAACAGTACAACAAACAGTTTCAGAACTCATCCAAACAGGAGAATTTAAGAAAGTTATAGAAAGGATAATAGAAGAACATGATCTGAAAATCTGTGACTTAGAGACAAACTTAGAAATAATATTAACAAAAAGTAAAATAAAAGAAGGTGCTATTAAGTTCATTAAAGAAAACATCAATAAAATTGATGAAGAAATTAGAAAGATAAAAGAAGAAAATGAAAAAACAAGCAAAGAACTTAAAGGGCATGAAATTCAAATAGATGAAAATACATTAAATATAGAAGTACAAAATTATTTAATCAATAAAATTATGAAAGAAATAAAGGGCGAAAGAATTAGTGAAGAAAAAATAAAAGAACTAGTAGAAGAAGAGTGCAAAAAGAGGTATCTTCAGAAAAGAAAAGAGAAAAATGAAAGGAGAGAAGGGTTGGCCAAT